GTGTTTGCGGTGGGGGGGGGGGGGGTTAGAGTAACATTTTAGACTCGTTTGAATATAATAATATGACGCGAGCGGTCGAGCGGTAGTGTCTGATTGAGTCGCCTCGGCAAGAGAGGTCTTGTGCATACTTGTCTTTGTACACCATACCTTTACCGAAAAGTGTTCGCGCGTCGCAAGCAGCAAGTTGCCGGCCATCGTTGCCCACCTTGCTGGGTCTTCCAAACCGTTCAAGAAGTTCACCTCCCGTAGCAGTGCAATGTCGCCCTGTATTACTGCGAAAGCATTAACTGTTCCGTGGAGCGAAGCCGGCGTTGTGTGTGGAAGCGATAAACGGCACCTAAATTCCTATTGGCTGAGCGAAAGTGCACTTAAATTCCCATTGTCCGTGCGAAGCGGCACCTAAGTTTCTGTTCCCAATAAAACACAAAGAAAAGCACAGCAACGCGGATGCTTCATCACGGAAGTCGTCGGGATTCGCCGCGCCTGCGCAGTGGGGGCGCGTGATGTCTCCGCCGGAGCGCCGTCTGCGAAAGGAAGACGTGGCGCACTGCTTGTAGGAATGCGCTGCGTGCAGGAATGCCTTTCGTATTCGTACACGTAAGCAGTCTTAAGTGTCTCTGCCAAACTTTTTAATATCGCATTCGTGAGGTTGCCGCCAACGTAGCGATCACGACGGCCGCCCAAGCGGCGGCAGCGGCCGCAGCCCGCAGCTACATCCATATTTGCTGGATGTATCAGCCACGTTCAAAGAAAGGTATACTTCCGCTTAACTCCGCCCATTCAAAAGTAGTGAAAAGAAGCATTGCCTCGAACTGTCTAGAGGCGGCTCTCAAGAAGTCTTGCAGGCACAGTGCCCAGGAAAGTTGCAAGAAACAGGTATAACGTAGCTGGAAAGAAAAAACGGATTTCTTTCAGGGCACTTTAGATGAAATTGCAAAAAACAAAAATTGGAAAAAAAGCAATTAAAGAGATACAAATGAAACTTAGCCACAGGAATACGGCGAGGCATGTTTTAATTCCTTATATGCACACCGTCACGCATAATCTTGAGAAACTGGCTGCTCGGTACTATGCACCCGTGATTTTCACTTCACCTTATAACTCGTCGTGGTCGTGCCGTAGGGTTAACAAACCCATTGATTCAACAGATTCTTGCAAAACCAGGCATCACGCCAAATACACTGAGTGCACTACGGGAGTAGTGCATAAAATGCCTTCGACATGCGGCTCTTCATATATCGGCCAGACGGACAGGTGCTTCAATGATCGCGCGAACATTCCGCGGCCACGCAAGCTACCCCGTAGGGACAACTTGAAACTCACTACAGTCGTTGCCCATGTTCCCGCTCATTTAGCTAAAGCAGGTTTCTGGCTAGTACCCAGATAAGGTTTCTAGGTAGCTATACTTCGTTTCATCTTATGTCCGAGCGCGGCCCATGTTATGAGCCGAAGAGCCAATCAAACAGCGAAAGAGGCACAACGTCAAGGCGTGCTCTCTGCGCTTTATAGAACTGCCGGCAGAGGGGCACGCACAGAGAGACGGCGAATACCGGCTCGTCCTATCAACTGCAGAGAGCACGCCATGACGTTGTGCCTCTTTCGCTGTTTGACTGGCTCTTCGGCTCATAACATCGGCCGCGCTCGGACCGAAGCTGAAACGAAGTATACATGGAGCTTCTCAACTCGAAGCAAAGGGTGACATATGAATAAGTGACACGTCACTGTCCTTATCGGCAAATGAGTACTCTTTTTTTGTTACGAGGGTTACACCGGAATTAGCCATGACTGTTTGTTTTGCCACAGCTATATATATATATCTATATCAGTGTTATGTTTTTCAAATAAAAGTCAGTGGCCAATGCGCCCCTGTTTTCTACTTCGTTGTCCTTGTGTTTTTTGCTGCTTACCTACTTGCTTCAAGTCGTCCTAAAATGTACCGATTTAAAGCTTTCCATATGCGCATAGCAAGTTTATAAATAAAAACACATGTTTATTTTCATCACTAAAAAGTTAAGGAGCAAGTGTTAGGTAACTTTTCAAGTTTATTTAGTACATTTTTGCAATCTCTGACGTCCGGCGTAGCTGGCAATTTGTTTCCAAAAAGAGTTTTTTTTTTTTTTTTTGCTTTGGACAGTTTTATGGCCAGCTTTCTGAGACACGCTGTTTTAGTTCCCGATTCTCACGACATGTGGCGTATCAACCTTGAGCAAGATAAAGGAGCAAGATAGAGTGCCTTCATACACACGCGCGCTTTTGCTTGAGTGTGACATCTCAGCCATTTTCCCGCCCAATCGTTTTTTATGCATTTTGAAGCGTGCGCAATCTGGTGTCACTCAGCTCGAGCGCGTAGCTGCGTAGACACCATTTTAACGCCCAAGTCACGCACCGAGTGCGCGAGAGCGTCACGCGCTGGCCCATTCAGGGCAACAATGAACGTCTTCACCCTCAGACATACAGACATGTAGGCAACCTAGAGCAAGATAAACGGAAAATTCGAAATGCGCGACTGCTATCTGAACCTCCTCTCCTGTGCATCTCTCCGGCCTCCCACCCTTTTCACCGCTTGCGTCTGGCCGAATACTTTACTATACTCCGTTTCACCTTATGTTGTACCGCAGTGAAGGCTAGAAGCGCGAGCTCATAGCATTGGCAGCTGCCCTTGGTGCACGAGAGCTTGTGCCACCGAGGTGGGCCATAGAGCAAGAAGCTCGCGCTTGTAGCCTTTCCTGCGGTACAACAGAAGGTGAAACAGAATATAGGGGGAATACATTCCACTCCGCTCATTTGCATTAGACAGAACGCCTAAAGCGTTGAATCCATCCCTGACGGAGGGAAGGTCCGCGCCGAGTCTTCTTTTTTTTTTTTTTAGGGGGGGGGGGGGGGGGAGGGGCAAATAAGCTATGATCATTATCAGTCGCACACATTTCACGACTACGCGCTATGCTACGCCGGCGGTCGATGCGCCAGTGCAAGCCAGCGTCTCAAGGTGTGAAACAATGTCAAATGTTTTGCGTGGTGTTTTCGTTTGCTACTTTTTTTCGAAACGATGCACACTATATACCCCGAGTTTCAGCAAGCACTAGTTTAGTTTATATTTATGAATTTGGCTTTTAGAAACAAAAAAATCTCCCCAATTATCTGTATTTTGTCGTTTTGCGTTCAAAATACAATCTGTTATTTTCTGTATTGCGTATGTTATTTCAGTGATGTGTGCCACTAGTATGGTGTAGTTTTGGAATTTGTATCCTCTAAACGAGGAAAAACTATTGTTCTTTCTTTTCAGGCGCTACCGGCTGTTCGTCAGCAAAGCATTTTGTCTTTAATCCTTAGTTTTTAGTCTTTATTTATTTGGCTCTGAAGAGCCGCGGCACCGTGGAAAGGCAGCAGCCCGTGCCATGGAGGCCCGCGGTGCCGCGTCTAGTGAACATGATAATGTCATGAGTATATACATGCATGATGACGACGACATAGATTGTTGGTATTAGGGAGGATGGCAATCCGATTCGCAGAAGTCCAGATTTCGTGGAGGTGGGTTCGGCGGGTCAGCAGCGAGCCATGGGGATCTGGCACGCCGTTCGATCGGTGCATGAAGGAGCAGCAGGAACATGATGGCGTTGTTGCTCACTGGGGTCCACTGCGGTCGAAGCATCAGGTTCCAAGCAGGGGCGGATCCAGAACTCCGTCTTTTTTTTGTTTGTTTTTGTTTTGGGGGGGGGGGGGGGCGAAAAAATTTTAAGGATACTATTCTCCCATTCTTTCTTGTGCAAGGGGGGTCCACCCATGTCAAATTGCCCTCCGAGAAGGGGGGAGGGAGGGGGTCGACTCTGTTTGGGGGGGGGGGGGGGGGAAGACGCGGCCGCCTTCGTCGCCCGCCCCCCCCCCCCCCCCCCCGTTCTTGGATCCACCACTGGCTCCAAGGTGGTAGCCCAATCAAAGTAGAAGCTGCCGCTTCCGAGGAGCCAGGCCTCAGATTGAGGCACCGCCGTCGCCCGGTGTGTCATCCTCTCAACGTAGTCGTCGTTGTGTTCTTTGTTTATACGCGTTTATATGTATAAATAAAATAAGATAGATAAAAAGACGCACAATCGAACAACTAGCGGCGCGCCGTTCTAGTTATACTTCTAGTTATTTCTAGTTATACACGCCTGAAAGAATTAGTTCAGTTTGTGTCTGTAACCGAGCTAAAACTTTACGTACACAGGCAAGTTCAAAGCAAAAAATATGCAATGCAAGTGTTTGTGACCCTACATCACAATTACTTATATTTGAAATCCAAGGCACAAATTTTGATCGTAAACATCTAATTATTATATAGTCATATTATAACCACCACATTCTTAGTCAATATGCTGTCATAAACGCATCGTACAAATCTTTTTTTCGATAAGCCTATGTAAAGGTAGCTTGGCCGCAAGCTTCTTGGTGCACGGCGGAGCGTTAACTTTACAGGGGCAAAAAGCGGGCCGAATTTGAAAGTTTCGAGAAATAAAAAAGTATTATCTAAAATACAGAAATTTTACTGCCGTGTGTGCTATGAGTCGGCAGCTGTTATATTCGGCGGGAACTTTACAATTCTTCATTTCAGTGAGAAGAAATTTAAAATTTTGTCAAAGTGGCCACTAGGACCCAATGCAACAATATTATATCGGGCCCAGGAAAAAACGTATACAATCCTGAGGTTCAAGTAGGTATTAAATACGAATGTATTAGTGTCCTCTATAGATATCCCGGGGAACTTGAGCATTTCTGCAGTAGTTTGGGTGAAATTATCATTTTACTGCGTTTTGCTGAGAATAGTCAAGAGAGGGCGCAAGAAGACCGTGTCCAGCAGGCTCTGGTGTCCAGCTGGTGTTCAGGAAACTGAATGCTGGGGAGGAGTTTTAAGAATATTTCAAAGTCTTTGCATAAATACCTGGTATAAACGTTTGGCGTTTGTTCAGTGTCAGATATGCTCGATATCTTCTTAATCTAAAATGCGCGTTTGTTGTTTTTTTTCGCAGGTGTGGGTGGACGCAGCGACGCAGGTCTTTTTCTCCCTCGGTCCCGGTTTCGGGGTCTTGCTCGCGTTCTCTAGCTACAACGAATTTCACAACAACGTCTACAGGTGATTCCCCATCGCGGGCACTCACATGTCCCCCCCCCCCCCTTTTTTTTTTCATCTTCACGGTGTTTCAGCCTCCTCAAAAGCGTTTTTGTTTTTTCTTTGCAGGCCGAAAAACATGTTTTTTTGTTGTCTCAGTCCCCCGGTACATTCCACTGTCCTGACATAAAGTACGAGAAAACCAACTAATGGTTGCTTCACACACTTGCGACTGATTACGCCGGAGTGCGTTAAAACCTCTTGTGATCTCTTACGACTAAAGAAAACACTGGCATCATCTATCGGGGCCGTGGAACATTTGCGATATCCTGATCTATTTCAATTTTGATCGCGTATAACTTTTTTTATCGAAAATCTTTTGAAAATGTTGCGCGCAATCATTTTTATAGATAATATGTGCATTTGAACCCCGCAAATACTGGGAAACCATCGCTCTTGTGAAATGCTGTTCCAGGGCGACATCATAGACGGCGCCAGCGTGCCAGTGTGTTCTCCAATCTAGGATCTCTATAGGGTCATTCAATGCCAAAGGAGATGCGGCAACTTTTATATCGGGTATATGTTCAAAAAATATTATATGGATAAAAAACCTCCGAACTCCAAAATAAGTATATTTTGTAAAAAAAAAAAAAAATTATATTATGTTTTAAATGTCTGGAATTTGCATGAAACCCACACAATTAAAAAAAAAAAAAAACATTGCAAAAAAAGAAAAAAAAAACAATCGCGTATCACACAAATGTAGGTGGGCGACTAATTGCTTGATAATATGCCCTATCTTACATTAGAATATTAGAATACCAATATTAAAAGACGCCACTTTAAATCCAAATAGGAGCTCCAAAACGCAAATACTTTATGCGATTTTTTTGTTTGTTTATTTAGTCAACTTGGAGTTGGGTGTTAGCTGCAATACTTTTTTTTTTCAATTTCTTTTTACATAGAACCAATTTTTGAATTGCATAAGTGAAACTTTCAAAGCCTCATTTTGTTGCGTTTTAAATAAATTACAAACTTTCCAGTTTATGCAGAATCGATCATATTGAGATCCAGAAAAAGCAATGAGGGCAGCGGTGCCTGAAACTTTCGAAATAGCCAAAAGTTCAATCCACTTCGTCTCTTTAGAATATATTTTTTTTTAAAAAGAAGTAAGTAATTTTTTTGCTTAAAATTTATTTTTTAAAGATGAGCGCCTCCGATTATGCCTCCAGGAACCAGCCTCGTAGCCGACGCACGCCGGCGTTCGCCCACGAGGCGTCAACGGTATGAGACGCCGCCTCAAGGTCGCTGCAAGGTCTTCAGTGCTCTCCTAAAAAACACTTTTTATTCAGTTAAAGTTGACGTTATTCTGACTCCCATGCATCCGTATCCTCTTTACGTTACGCAATGACACAGCCGTCGTAATTTTTACGCGTGTTTCAAATAGCGACCAGCCTCTTTAAATTGACCGCAAAATTCGGTTTCTCAACCTATCGCGATAGCGCATTTTGTGCACCGTTGCACACTGATGGTGAATTGTTTTCTACAAAGTTTGCAAAGAGCGAACTTGACCGATGAAAAAGTAAAAAAAAAAAAAAGGAAGAAGTCTTAACTCCCTTAAAAACGCGGCGAAGCCACCGGTCTTCAAACAATAGGATTCCCTATTGTTTGAAGACCGGTGGCTTCGCCGCGTTACAATAAGAGCTAAACCTTTTTCTTTTTTTTTACGTTTTCCTCAGTTAAGTTTGCTCTTAACAAACTTTACAGAAAACATGAACCATTTATGGGTAATGCTGCACAAAATTGTAGCGCGATAGGTTAAGAAACCGAAATTTGCGGTCGATTTAAAGAGCCTGGCCGCTATTTGAAACGCTTTCTATTTCAGCTTCTCGAGTTTCGAAATGCATACGGCGCTTCGGCCTCGTCTGTCGTATGTCCAGATATAAAAACAATTCAGACAGGATAGCTCTTCACTGATGCTAAATGGTAACAGTGATGTTGTGTTAGTGACTTTCTATAGAATTTAAATGTATATTGATAGAACATGTATATGCATGTAGATATGTACATGTATATATCAAGAGTAGTGTAGTGAAAGAAAAAGTATTCCACTCGTTGCGGCGGACGCCCCACACTCCTGAGGTTCCGTACATGTGCGCTATTTTTGGCCCCGGAATACACTGAAGGCAAGAAGAACATGTCTAAAATTCTAAATACGCTGTGCTCGTTTACACCTAAAAAAAAGAAGGAAATTTTGCGCATCGTGCATGCGCCGCGCAAAGTAGCTCTTAGAAGATATGGCTGTCGAAGGAAGAAACGATGTTTTTGGCGTTTGAAGCGTGTATGTCTTGATAATATAACCTATCTAATCTATTATGCACCTGCATATATCTTATTTTTTTACATAAAGGGGAATATTAGTAATGCTCCGCGAGGAGCCGGCCTTTTTTCTTTTCTGCGGCTCTTGAGGTGCAAACGGGCAGAGTGTTCTTAGAGTGTGTTTGATAAGAGGTGGGAGTTACACGGGTGCCTTCTTCGTCATCAAAGTGGGCTCAGCGGACATTAGAGGTAATAACCGTTGTGGTAAGTCGGTTCATTAAACAAGTTGTTGATTAACTTCTTAACTAATAGTTTAATGCCTCATGTTGAGATTGCAAACAAATTGTTGATTAACTTCTTAACTAATAGTTTAATGCCTCATGTTGAGATTGCAGTATTGACGCCCACTATAGTATCTGAGGCGTGACCAATTTACACAATTTGCGAAAAAGTAATGGTTTCTCAGATACTTATCGATCAGTTTTTAAGTTTTTACTCCCGATTTTAATATTGCGCTTAAAAAGATTGCCCAAGCCTTTTCCACAATGAAGCTTAGAAGGGTGGCGTAGTCGTTTCAATGACGTCGTAATTTTTTTATATGTTGAAAAGAAGAGGTGAATTCAATTACCGGCTATTTAGCAAGTTGCGGGCACCAATGCCTACAATACTTTTTCGTGCTTTCAATAAGGTCTTTTCGGCAGAAACTGGATAATTTGTCATTTAATTAAAAAGCATCAAAAGGCGGCTTTAAAAATTTAACACATGCAATTCAATTATTAGCTCTATGTGAACAAAACGCAAAAGGTATTGTAGCTAATACCCAACTCCAAGTTGACTAAAAAGAATAAAGAAATCACATAATTTATTTGCGTTTTCAAGCTCCTATTCGAACTGAAAATGGCGTCTTTCAATATTTGTATTTTAGTATAAGATAGGGCATGTTATCAAGTAATTAGTCGCCCACCTAAATTTGTGCGGTACGCGCCCGTTTTTTCACAATGTGTGTGTGTGTTTTTTTTTTCTTGCGTGGGTTTTATGCAAATTCCAGAAATTTAGAGCATGACCTTAGCAAAAACAAAATCATATTTTTTTTTCAAAATGTACTTTTCTTGGAATTCAGAGGATTTTTTATCCAAATTCACTTTTTCGTACATATCCCAGACATAAAAATATTGCCGAGACTCCTTTGGCATGGAATGACCCTATTCGGTGAGAAGGTCGTCTCTTTCCTGCGCGAGAGGTAGCGCTGACGTCAGAAGGACGCAAAGTTCTGATTGGCTTTGATTGAAAGGATAGTGGGTAGACCTCGATGCTAGATGCCTTGAGGTCTACACGCTTTATTTTTTCAATCAATCAGCCAATAAGAACTCGGCGTTCTGACATCATCGCAACCTCTGTGCAAGAAGCAGACGAACTTGTGCTCCGCATAGTGTTCTCTAGAGAACCCAGATTGTAGAGGGTCCGCTCAGGACCATGGGGGAGCGTCTGCAATTGAATGGCGGACGCCTCCTGCGGAGATCGGTCGCAAGTGCGCATGCGCTGCGTTTTCGAGTGGCGATGAGGAAAGCAGGCGGAGAGTCGAACACGTTTGCAGGCGATCGACGCTTTCGGCACCTTCTTGCAGCCTGTATTGCAAACGCGACCCTTATACCTCGTGACCTTGATCGAGCAGTTTAAACATTTTTAACAAAGAACTCTGTCGTTAGCGAGCATAAGCGTGCGAACCAGCCGTTGTGCCTGTTGTATCGCTATCCTAATTTCACCCATATACTGATACCAGCATGGCCATTCAGTTTCCTCGACAGGAATTGCGAAATTCGCTACCTTTCTTTTTAGCCCTTTTAAGAGCGATTTTCGTCCGGCGATTGCTCAGGGACGCTTTGCTGACGAGTGCGGTGAACAGCGCCACAAGTTTCCTGGCGGGCTTCGTCATCTTCAGCGTGCTGGGCTACATGGCGCACCGGGCCGACATCCCCATCGAGAAGGTGGCCACTGAGGGTATTTATTCATTCATTTATTTCACCTTAAGGGCCCGTGAACGGCATTACATGGAAGGGGAAGGGGGTAATCAGGGAGTATAGACCGTTCCATTAGGGTCATAGCAGAGAGGGAAAAAGAGAAAAAAATGCACTCCCCCTCTCACCCCGCACGTCGTCTGCTCCGCCGAGTGGTCTATAGCTAGCGTCCGGCTGGCGTGCAAACTCTGTTTAAAATCGCGTCATTTTGGAACTTTCAAGCGCAGATGCACAGATTTTGGTATGCCAGTTCTCCTGTTATATTATGCTAGATAAAAAGACTCACCGGGTCCAAGTGCGCTGTTACCTGCGTGCAAATAAAAAAAAATAGGGAAAACTGTCAGATTGGCCGGTTTCTTTGGCGAAAACTAAATCCGTTTGCTGTACCTTTTTTACTATACAAAAGTTCGCACTGGTGTAGGCCTTTAGCGACCATGAGTGGAAGTCTGAAATAATAAATGAAACGTGCTCTCCTGCCGCAATACAAGCAGTAGTTGAGGGTAGTACTGCCGGCTGACTCAACTGCTATTTAAGTAACGGAAAAAAGGTATGCTAGTTTATCATTTAGCAATATAGAACAACAGGGAGCTATAGGCTGATTCTGGAGTAGCCACAACTAATCTAAGAACGCGAACCACTTCACAACGGCAGCCACGAGCGAGAGTTCGATGTTCGGTAGAGCACGCCGATACAGCCCAAAGATGGAGAACGGCAACCTCTGTTTTGTCGTCTGCTAGCGGAGTCGGGCGCGTGCCCTCTCTCTCGTTTTACCCCGCCGAACCCACTGAACTTCCCGGATGTGTGGAGAGGGCGCTGCGGTCGAACAAAATGGTGCCGCCCAGAGAGCGCTAAATGGAATGGTCTATACAAGAGGCGTTAAATACAAACGTGATACACTCAAGGCACACTAAAAAAAATTTACAAAATTGAAATGTTGTAAAAAAATAAGAAATGACGTTAATAACAAGAAAGATGTTGCTTTATAGAAAAGAAAAAAAGAAATTAGGGGCCACGATGGTGACAATGGAGGATGGGAAACTGTTCCAGTCGCTGACGGCTTGAGGAATAAATGATCGATTAAAAGCGTTGGCAGAACTAGAAATGCGTTAAATGGTGCCGGCGGGGTTAAGGCGAGAAGATATTCGGTCGGGGGCTGATAACAAAGTGCTTTTGAGATTGGGAATGTGGTAGTAGATTTTATGAATAAGGCAGAGCTGAGAGTATCTCCTGCACACCTGCAAAGAACACACGGTTAGTTTACTTTTTAATTCTGAAACACTGAAAAAATGGTCATAAGCGGATAAGATGAAACGAGCAGCTCTGCTTTGAACTGCTTCCAGGTTATGGATGTTGTACGGTTGATGGGGGTTACACACGGTTGCAGCATGTTCTAATTTTGGTCTGCCGTACGTGTCATATGCCAGCTTGCGGACAAAAGGTGGAGCGCATCTGTGTCTGATTAATCCAAGAGTTCTAGACGAGTCGGCAATAATGGCTCCAATGTGGTTATTCCAGGAAAGGTCTGATGTTAGTATTACATCAACATATTTATACACATTAACTGTCTCAATCAAATCGGACTCCAGAATGTATTGTAAGGACAGGGTGAATTTTTTCCTGATGAAGTGGATTAGTTTGCATCTAAATTTGTTTAATGACATCGTCCATTTGCACCTTTTGTTAATTTTATCTAGGTCTTCCTGAAACTGGTCATTATTTTGCACACAGGTTCCTTTGTTATAGATGACACATTTGTAGGCGAACATTCGTATTTTAAAGTAATTCCACAGGGAAGGTCCTTTATAAATATTTGAAAAAAGTAGGGGCCCAAGGACTAACCCCTGGGGAACGCCAGATGATACATTTATTAGGGAAGATTCATAATCATTAACGGACGTCAGCTGTACGCGACAAAACGAAAAGTATCCAGTTGGCGTACCAACTTTTTTCTGAGTTGGGGGGGGGGGGGGCAAAGCAGACCCCCCCCCCCCCCTGGGCCGGGGGGGCGGTGCTTTTGGTATCCCTTGGGCGCTACCGGCCAGTGCTTGTCCTGCCAGTGGCGGCTGTTTCAGGGGGGGGGGGGGGGGGCAAAACTTGCCTTGCCACTCAGCTCCGAGAACTGGGGCGCAAACGGCCTCCTTGCCCCCCCCCCCCCCCCTCCCGGTTGGTACGCCGATGAAAGTATCTAATCTATGCAAACGTTAATTGGTCGAGACGAAGAGATGAAAGCTAAGAAAGGAGGCGTTGATGAGGGACACAGTCGAACGCTTAAAAAAATAACAAAATACTGCGTCAGTCTGGACATGACATTCAAGGTAAGTATGTAGATCGTGGATGAAATCGAAGAGTTGTGTTTCACAGGAAAGCACTCTTTGAAAACCATGGTGCTGTTTAAAGAAAAAGGAATTTTATGATAGTTTCCTAATTATATTGGAGTAGAGGATATGCCCAACTGGTTTGCATGAAATGAAAGTTAAAAAAATAGGGCGATAACTAGAAACAGAAGAGCGGCTACCCTGTTTAAAAACTGGTGTAAGCCTGCCAACTTTCCAGTCAGACGGAAGATCGCCTTCAGATAGGGTTCGGTTAAAATTAATTTCACATGCTCGCTAAAAATCACAATGGTGTTTTGTTTAAAATTTTTGAGTTTATATTGTCAGTCCCAGCGGACGAAGTAAGTTTTAGTTTATCAAGCAATGTTTTAATACCGGAGGAGTTAACGTTGATTGGAGGCATGTACTCATAAAGCGTTTCGGGAATGGAGGGGATAGAATCCAAGCACTCGTTACTGATGAAAAGTGTTAGTTAAAGACCTTAGGGCACTCGCTCTCCAGAATGTGGAGTTAGATAAATTTGAAAGAGTTGTCATTCTTTGGCGAAACCAACTTCCAAAACTTCCTATTGTTACTATGAATTATAAAAAAGGACTAATTATACAACAGCTTTTTTTTTAAACGAAGTATACTGATATATTTTTTAAGGGCGGTATTATAAGAATCCCAAGCCTGTAACCTACCGACACGTATTGCTTTTGCAAAGAGCCTTTTTCTTATTACTTAAAAAAAGCAAGGCTTTGGTAAACCATGGATCTTCTGATTCCGTGCTTATACAAACAGTGGGAAGAAAAATATTTACCAGATTATTCATTTTAGTTTAAAAAAACACCCAATTTTCTTCTGTCGATTTAAGATAAAAATTTGCATTGAAGTGGTCGAAAAAAGTTGTCAACTCGCGGTTTATTGATTTGTATTCGGCCTTGTTATAATCGTGAATGATTTTGGAAATGGGATGTTTCACGAGGACGGGGAGTGACAGTTTAATAAGTAGAAGCTTATGATCGCTGAGTCCGTAACAGTAGTGAATATATTTAATAAGGTCAGGTGGCGTTGTTTGTATCAAGTCGTGAATGTTCTCTGGACGAGTAGGTTGATCAACTAACTGCGTGAAGGTTAAAGTGAGACACATTTCCAGGAACAGATTATATGCGATACAGCTTCCTCATAAGTGTTGACCAGTCAATAAAGGAAAGTTGAAGTCGCCGAATAATAGCATATCGGCTTTTGGAAAACGATTTTTATTAAGTAGGAATGAGCACAGTTCAGTTTGAAAAGGCGAAACACAATTGGGTGGCCTATAACAAACGCCAAGTGCGACTTCGCTAAATAATGTACAAACGGATGTCTGTAACAGCTCTAAGCCGTTGATTCATTAAAAAAATATCAAGAGAATTTTTTTTTATCGCAATGAGCACACTTTTGTGCCGAGTCGGTCAAGCCGAAAAACGTTTGTTAAAATGAATCAGAAAAGTTATTTATCTTATATAGCGGGTTTTAACCACGTTTCTGTAAGAATGACTATATGTCTGATGAACTGTCCTCAAGTACGCTAAGAAGCTTGTCTCGATTTGCCGTAATACAGCGAATGTTTGTGAAAAGAACAGATAATATTTGGTTTTTATCGCGTATTGCGCATGAGGGGAGGAGGGACACGCCTTGTGTCTGTTATTCGGACACGTACTTGGTTGTAAAAGTTCAACAACAGACTGAGACTCCGGGTTAAAAAAAAAAAAAAGCGTTTGTTATTGGTACGCAATTTTTCAAAACGAACTCTGAACGGCGCGTTCAGACTTTTCTCGCACTGGAAAACGTTTCTACGCGCAAGTCGCACAAATTGGGAAAAATTCCCCGAGTACAGAAAACGGCGTATCTCTTAGCTTAAATCCGGCAGCCAAGATGTTTTCTTTGTCTTTGTATCTCTCAAACTTGATTACGATAGGCCTGTTTTTAACTGGCTGATGTATGACGAGGAGATGCGATCGTTCTAGATTTGACGGGCCTACTGAATGCCCTAAGAATTGTGTGCACAAAATACGACGACTTTAACTTCCGATTGCTCCCACGTTTCGGTTGGTTTATAAAGCAATAATTTTGTAGATTTATGTTCTGATTATAGTCTTTCGCAATTGGTAACCAAACCTATTCGAACTACCAGCTCATCAGCAAATATACTACACCTTATCCTAACAACATGCCCGAAGTTAGTCTCGTCCGTATTACATTTACCGGGTTTAAGTAAACATTGCATTTTGATATAAAAATGCCGTCGGCGGCTGTACCAAATGCCTTTAAACGTATACGAGACTACGGTAAAGCTAACTTCGAGGCAGTTAATAAGGACCTTTGCACTTTTATGGAAACGTTTTACCCTGCTTTAATGAGCGTTTTGTTAATGATAATTGGAACTTATTCAAGATGGAACTTGATCAACTTTTAAATTTTTATGTCTCTCTGAGAAAGGTGTATTCCCATTCAGACGCGCCATGGTTTAATAGAGCGCTAAATAGATTGGTAACAAGAAAGAGCGTTTAATTCGTGCTGCGAAAAAATATTTCACTAGTCGACGTTGGGTCGCTTATTACACTGCTGCTGATTCATACAAAACTGCTGTAGATCAAGCCAAAAATATATTTTTAACTGCACCTTA